CATTTAAAATTGAATATTAATAGAATATAATATATAAATATAAATATATTTTATTATTATTAAAATAAATCGAAAATCTCTAAAGTTTAATATATTAAGTTTCATTCCAGAAGTCTATGCCTAAAGATCTTTGAAGATTTTTGCTAAAAAATTTCCTGATGATATATATCTTGATATATACAAATCAAATAAAGAAATAATATTTACCTACTGGAATAACCTCTCCAAAAAAATTTTTTTTTATAAATTTAAATTATTTAATTAATATTTTTTAATCAAGCCTTTATTTAAATAAAAATAAATAAATAAATATATTTTTTAAAAATATTTATTTGATTTGTAAAATTATATATTAAATAATTTTGAAATATATTTTTATTTTTCTTAATTATATAAAAAAAATTAATTTTTTTAATTGGTTTATAACTAATAATTAATTATTTAATATTTATTATAAAAAAGATTAAATCTGTTTAAATTAATAAATAAATAAATAAATAAATAATAATAATAATAATAATTTGTTAATTAATACTTATATAAATTATTTTAAATATTTTTGTTAATAATCAAATATTTTAATTAAGTAAAAAATTTCTTATAAAATTATTTTATTTTATAAAACTTTTAATATAATTATTATAGTTTTGTTTTTTCTTTTATTTTTTTTCTATTTTTGCATTTAATTTATTATATGTTTTGCTTCTAAGAGATACTGTATATCTTGATATACACAAATAAAATAAAAAATATTAGAATTTTAATATAATTTATAATATGAAAATTTTTAAAAAAATAACGGTAATATAAATTATACTGTATATACAATATACATTATTGTTTAAGCCTTTATGTCATATGACAATTGGCACAATTGTCATAAAAGAATATGTACGTATATAGAACGTTTGGGCAATTATTTGACCACAGTTTCGTTCTCAATCTGCAAAGTAATGGAAAATTATTCTAATTACGGGGGTCAGCAAGATCCTTCTTCAGGATATAATTACCAACAATGTAAGTTTATTCGGAAAAAAAATGCACATGTGCACATGAAAACAAACTATATGAAACTTTCCCAAGACTACATAGAATATATTTCTTTCTATGGTCTTCACCTACTTTATCGATTTTATTAGTGCCACAATTTAATTAACAAATTACCTTTAAAAATATTTAAAATACATAGATAACGAACCGTATAATCAGAATGGTTATTCAGCTTCAGCAAATACATCAGAGTATTATTATGGAAGTACAAGTTCTCCAGCGACAGGTAATAGTAACAGTAGCAGTACAAATCCTCAACAACAAACAGCACCACCCTCAACATCTTCACAGGGATATGCTTCTCATCCAAGGAATGAGGGATATGAAGGAGGTGGAGGAAGCAGTTATTCTTCTGGTTATAACTATAGCAATTACCCTGCGCCAGCAACTTCGGGGAGTTATCAAACAGGTCAGAATTCATCGACAGGAGGATCCGCAAATTCTCCTGCCCCACCATATAATTCAAATGGTGGAACAAATAAGACGAGCTATGGGGATCGTGGTAGTGATTATGATGACGGTGCAAGTTATAGTGGAAACAAAAACCCATATGGAGAAGATTACGGTGGCAACTATAAATCTCGTGATAACAGTAGAGAAGGCGGATACGGTCCACCACCCAAAGATGATGGTGCGTTCAATAATTACGGTAATCGTTCAGAAGGTGGATATAAGAATAAAAAATTATTTTGTTATGTAACTTAATCTGCTCATTATTTCATATAATTTTCTCTGATTTTGAAATATATAGATGGTTCAATGACTCAAAGTGTCGATACGATTTACATTTCAAATTTAAGCAAAGAAGTTACGGAAGAAAAGTTGGCAGATTATTTCGGTAGTCTTGGAATGTTGAAAATAGACAAGAGAACTCAGAAACCGAAGAGTAAGCGGATAGAACCAACGCTAGATAGAAAAAAAGATTATTTTTTTTTGTATTCTGTCTTTGTATTAAGTTCAAGGTGTGACACTCAAAGAACAAAACTTTTTGCATTTTGACAGTATGGATATATTACGACAAGGCAACTGGTATCCCTAAGGGAGATGGTAAATTAAAAATTTAAATAATGATGAGGAAGTTGGATACAAAATATAGTCTAAAATTTTGTATGAAAATCTAGCAACTTTAACATACGAAGACCCGGACTCAACCAAAGCGGCAATAAAGTATTTTGACAATCAACCGTTCCTTGGCCAGGTGATTCATTTGATTATTTTAGGGTGTATCTAATTGCGTCTCAACCTATTTCTAATATTAAATTTTTTATCGAATAAAGCCTATAAAAGTAGAAATGTCTGTAAGAAAAATTTCTTCAGGATTTAGGGCTCGCGGTGGTAGAGGTAGGGGACGTGTTGGATTCTCCGGTAGAGGCGGCAGTGGTCGCGGTGGTGGTGGCCCACCTCCACGCGAAGGCGATTGGACATGTGAATCGTAAGATTGTTAAAATCTCAGTGTTCACATACGTGCGATGAAATCAATTGACATCTCACATTTTATTTAGTTGCCATTCAAATAACTTTGCAAGAAGAACAGAATGCTACAAGTGTTCCATGCCTCGTGGAGATGCAACTGGAAGTGAAGGCGGGTTTGGGGGTCGATATTCTGGATCACCAAGAGGTGGGTATAGAGGTCGTCGCGGCGGACCATCATCTTATGGTAGCCGTTATAACGGTGAGGATAGAGGCTATGGAGGCAGCGGCTATCGTAATAATGATAGTGGTTATGATCAAAATTATGGAAGACCGAACAAACCGGATGATCGACAAGAACGCAGGGAGAATTCTAGATATCGTCCTTACTAGGATATTAACAAAAAACGTTGCGAGGAATCGAATTTTTGTCGTTCCACTTTTGCTTATTTTTACTTTTTTTTTTGTGGGTCATGCGATAGTTGCATTTGTTCTCATGACTTGCAATTTCTATCACGGGTCATTGATTTCGTTGGGAATGGCATTATTATTTTATATCGAGAGGAAAAAAAAAAAAAAGGATATAAAGGCCTGACAAAAAGGGAGTGGATAAGTCCTCATGAATTATTGGTGTACAAAAAATTATATCAGAATTTAGTACAGTATGGGTAGGTATGCTTATTGACGGTGTTCTCGGAGTTTTAATTTGCTCGTACGGAGTCATAAAGGGGATTCAAAAGTTAGCAGGCAATGGTTTATTTGTTAATTATTGTCTGGTAGGTATTTATATTATTTAACAAACCTTTACTTAAAGGATGATAAATGATCATAAGTGATTCGTAGCAAACAAAAAATGGAAGAAATGGTAAATAGGTGAAGGGAGTTTAACTCCAGGGTAAATGCTAAGAGGGATGCATCACTAATAATAAGTATTCAATCGGTATAAAATTTCTACTTGGTAAATTCGTTAAGTTACTGAACGAGCGAAGTCACATTGCTTTCATTTTTTTGTTAATGAATCGAAAAATTTGGACTATCATATAATGTTATCGTTCTTTTTTAAATTAAATTGTATTTTCAATAAACTTAGATTATAATTTAATTATTTTTTTTAAAAAATTCCTCATTATACACTAATCTTAGCTCAAAATAAACTTTCTAGCTTATGTGATAATACGGCGAAACATTATTACTATTCTACCATCCTGATTTAATGATACCATCACACACTACTTCGGGCTCCAACAAAGCAATCGTCACCTCAGATTTTTTGTTTTCAATTAGCGCTTTCACTAACATATCGTTTGAAAGAACAGATGGGACCGAATTATCAATCGTGCCTATCGTGATATGCGGAATCCGATTCGCACTCCTGACATGTGATGGTTCAATAGCATTAACGGAAAAGGCCATTATTTTCTCATTAAAAACCAACTTGTCAATGTGCACTTTCACTTTTAGGGGTTCGCCCGTACAAATATTTTTGTACTGTTCCCACAATTCCTGATTTTCAAGTAGATCTGATTTGTGAATGAGCGTCACATGATGTTCATTGGAAATTCGATTATTGTAAATTAATTTCTTGTAGGTCCTAGAATCGACTTTTGGATGATTCGCAAAGTAATTAGACAGATATCCTGATACGTCAAAATCAAGCGCTATCATAAAATATCCAGGTCCAGAAGATCGTGACTTTGATTTGGACTTTGAAACGATTTTGCGAACGGTGGGTTTATAATTCGTTGCTTCTTTCAATGCATTGCTGATATCGATCTCATTCGGAATTTTAACGCCAAGTATTGGACACAATTTCTCAACGGTTAACATGAGATTGGTTTTTATGTCATCGGAAATATCCAACTCAATCATATTATCAATTTTATCATCCACCCCATTATTTGAATCTAATGGCTCAAAGTCTTTTAAGAATCTCCAAACGATTTTTTCATATTCTGGATTTTCTGGCGTTAGTGATTGGTGATTACTTCCTCTGGAGACGACACGTTGTGATGTTATTTGAAAAATTTCATTCAGAGAACGTTCACTATGATCCCAATAGATAACCACAATTCGGACGCTTGGATAGGATTCCCTCACAGAATTCATTAAGGTCTTGCGAAGTTCGAGCAAATGATTATTTCTGAAATGGATTTCGTTCGTTTTATTATATAGTGTTGAATAGTCAAATAAGTGTCATAAAACATTATAAATCATTCACCTGTCAGCAATTACAACATCGTGAGTATTGAATCCTTCTATAATACTCTTATAAAACTCTACACGCGATTTCTTTCCGGTTATGTTATCATTCTGAATATGAGCAAATTTGAATAAGATTGAGAGCGCTAGAGATATCGTTGTCTTTCCTGAAATCAACATTTAACAGTCATACAATAGAACTCCATCATGATTACGCGAAGCGAATGAAACGGGAACCATAAGATACTTACCACACCCAATCGTGGCTACTGGAAAAATTAATGTTTTCACATTTTGAGCAGAGCAACACTCAAGCTGCGCTAACTGAGCATCATTCAATTGCTTAAGGAATAAATTTCTTACGTGAATGATTCCCTGATTTTTTTTATATTCTTTAAAAAGATCAGGATCATTACTTATTTTTTCCTTCACCCAGTCAATGTAACGATTACTGAGCGGATATGTGACTCTTGGCTTCCCCTTTGACAAAAG